CCGCCTCACTGACCGCTGTGTCCTGCCCAGCCGTCACAGCCAGCGCCGGCCTCGGGCATGGCTTTGGACGAGATGAATGGAGCGGGGTCGGAGCCAGAGGAAGGCAGGAACCAGGAGCCGGGTGTCAGCAACACGAGAAACATCCTGGAGAGTTTCACAGAGAGCCAGGAGGTCCGGGGGCTCATCGGTAACCTGAAGGGAGTCTGTGGGGATCTGGTGACTCGAGAAATGACGATGGAGAAATTCATAGGTAAGCGCATCATCCAGAGGCAGCGAGTTCCTACATTGCTCAAATGGATTTGAAGGACTACGCCACTGATTTTGAACTGGTGATAATGCTGGAACTTTTATCAACAAGTAGTTTAGGTTTTTTACTCATATTGTTTTTCAGATACAGTTATTCCATTATTATTTGTTATTGAAGTACTGCAAATAAATCCCTAGGTCTTAGATTTACGAAATCTGAATTCCGATCCATGTTTAGCCACCAGTTTCCTATTCAACTGCAGGCAATAATTTAGTTAAAGTTTGTATGGCTGTCAAATAAAGCCACTTTTGTACCTAATTACTTGTTAAAAATGCATGCATTTTGAGCTTTAGAGTGGTACGTTCATATTTTTACTTGTATACTTCATAGGCAGTCTGAAGGGTCGCTCACACCATACAGATCACGTAACTGTTTCTGAGTGGTGGCAGCTTGGATCTGATTTAGCAGCTGAGCTTTTGAGCCATGTGATAAAAGCTGTTCTGCCTCTAGACCTCAGCTGAATACAGAAGTGGTGTAACTACCTGCATGGAGCAGTGTCCTAGGCGATTAGCCCGTTATAATGCACACTTGTGTATTGGATCCAGTATTCCAACCAGACAATTTGGAAAAGTTAATTCAAAGTTTCACGTATTTGCAAATCAAGTCGAATAGCGTTTTGCAAGCACTTTTGTAAAAATGGTGAAATGGCAAAAGCTTGCACTAAAAATATTGATCCAGCATCTTTGTTTCTGATAAAAAGTAAGTATAATAAACCAGAAACCCAAAGTCTGGAAATCTGACCCTGCAGAATTTACTTACTGGAATTACACTCTGTGAACTTAAGTGACTGTTCCATCTGAGGAGGTTAATGATGAACATGTTCAGAAAGAAGTAGCAAGAGCGCTCGTATCTGTTTGCTGTTCAGTATCACAGGTGGAAAGGCAGAATTTGATGGCATAGAAAAGCACTTACTGAAAAAATCTCAGTGTTCAGAAGGCCATCATCTCCTCCAGCCGATCATCTTGCTGTGCCTCTCTGTCATGTCATGTCATGGCTCATATCATATAGCATATTGACTGTCTCTGTGGCTTTGAATTGTATTTTTGAACTTTCTGTGTGCATCTCCGCTCTGTCGCATAACTTCTCATGAGAAAAATGCTTTGCTGCCCATTGAAGCCTGTGACTTTGGCCCTTTGGGGAGCAGGTCCTTTGAAGGTAGGAGGTATTGCTGTATGGTCAGTACCAGAACGGCCCAGTAAATACAGTGTTAATACACTTAAACCCTATAGGCACTATGTTTTCTTCAGTAGTCGGTTGTAATATTTAGTATCATAAGGTATCATTTGATCCTTCTCGAGCAAAATGTCCCAAACATGGTATTAGGCTAAGTGTGTGGGATGTAATGATGAGGCTTAGGGAATACTGTTAATTGATATGCAGATAGCACAGTAATGACAAGTCACAGGGGATTTTAACACTGATCTCCAAAGCAGTCACAAACATAGGTGGTGCTCATTTTTTTGTGAAGTGTTAGAAGTTTGGAAGAGAGTTTAAACTGCAACTATAATTTTGTAGGAAAGTTTAGGAAGATCTTTTTTTGAAATAATAGCATTAGAAGAACTTTGTGTTGGTTTCTCCTCCCCCCCCCCTTTTCCCCAGTTCATTCTCTTCAGCATTTAGATTGGCGGTTTTACCTCAGATTGCCAGACCACACCTTAAGGTATCATGAACTGCAGTGGGAAGCTGACGATTAGGAGCTCAGGCTTCCCTCTTGACAGGAGGCAGCGCTGTGGTATCCGGGTGGAATTGCACGAGTCACTTAGGATGCTCTTGGACTGGCTGGTATCTTGAAAGTGGTTGTGCAGTGTCACCCACTGGTCAACTACAGCACTGTCAAAGTTACATCTTAAATCTAAGTTTTGATGTGACAACCGGAGAAAAAGGATAGAGAGCAAAATTGTTTGAGAGAGAAACAAATGCAGGAAAAGGAGAGTTTAAGAAAGGATTTTATTTTTCTAATAAACTGTCTATTTTCTAACCAAATTATCTAAAATGACTCAGGCAGTCTCCAACACAGTACTGGATCACTTGATGATCCCTTCTGAAATCCAGCTTTCATTTCGGTAGCTGCTTTTTGTTCATTCTGGGTTTAAATTGAAATGCTTTTGTTTCTAAAAACCGTGGTGAGTTGTTCTTAGTTTTTTCAGTACTCAGTTTCAATTTGTCTTTCCTCAAGCCAGTTCCCAAAAGGAAGATAACATATTACTGGCAGCAAGATGAAGTGATGAATGTGAAAAGTTTTTGAGGAGCACAGATCATAACAGCTACTGTTTGCATTAGTCCAGGTTAAAATGCTTCAAGGATTCTTTGTTCTTTGCTGAATAGTTTCCTGTGTTTTCTTTCAAAATAAAAAAACTAGCTCTGAGAATTGTGAAGGGCACCTTCACTTGTGGCTTAACCCCAGCAGCAACCAAGTAAGAGCCAGCTGCTTGCTCACCTACCTGCTCCCCATTGGGATGGGGAGGGGAATCAGGAGGAAGAGACAAGGAAACTCATGGGTTGAGATAAGAACAATTTCATAATTGAAAGTAAATGGAATAAAATAAAGATACCAACAATACTATCAATACTAATAATACTAGTATTACTACTGATAATATCTCATGAAAGTAACAGAAAGCAAATGATACAGCTGCTCACCACCCACTGACCAATGCCCAGCCAGTCCCCAGGTAGCAAGAGCCAGAGCAAGCGAGAGCATCCCCCCTGGCCGCACCACCAGCTTAAATACTGAGCATGACGTTTGATGGCATGAAATGTCCCTTTGGTCAGTTTGCTCAACTGTCCTGCCTGAACACAGGGGCAGAATCAGAAGCTGAAAGAAGTCCTTGAGCTGACATAAACATTGCTTAGCAATCACTAAAACCGGTATGTGATCAATATTTATATGAGCTACTGTGTGGATAACTAACTCTGTTCCAATTAAAACGAGCATAACTCGCAGAGTCGTACTATGTTGGCTTTTTTGTGCTTTAGTCAGGTGGCTCAAAAGAAAGAGGTAAGAATTTTGCAATGCCTATACCCTGTTTCCATACAGATGCTCAGTGTTGGAACTATGTGTAAGTTCCAGGCATGGGAAGGGAGATAACCTTGTGGGGAAACACAGTGTGTCCAGGGAGAATTTGCTTATGGCTGAATTAGCCTCAGGATTGGAAAAGTGTCATGCTACTAACACCTCTTGGTTTTGAGATATCTTTGTGTGTGTGTTTTTTAAAGACAGTCGGTCATTTGACACGCTAACTAATAGAAGAGTGTGTAAAATTAAGTGGGTTTCCATGTGTTAATGAAGATGAAGAGAAAGGTGTAAAGCAGCATTCTGGTTGCTGCGTGGGTAGAAGGTCTCAGGTTGCCCAGAGAAGCTGTGGATGCCCCATCCCTGGAAGTGTCCAAGGCCAGGCTGGATGAGGCTTGGAGCAACCTGGTCTAGTGGAAGGTGTCCCTGCCATGGCAGGGGAGTTGGAACTGGATGATCTTTAAGATCCCTTCCAACCCAAACCATTTTATAATTCTGTAAGTGCAGTGGAGAGCTGGCACACCTGGAGCAGCTACAGTCCATAGTGGTTTAATGTTTGCAGATTTCCATCAGAAATGGTGTGCTGGGAAGTTGCTCTTAGGAGAGTCACGAAGAGCTCTGCAGGGAAGAACAGCAACAAACGGAGTGAGTGCTTGTTTTGTTTAGCTGTGGCATTTGTCCCCAGTAATTTGAAAGACTCCTTGGAGGGGGTTTGTGATTGAGTGTTGGTCAGTGATTGCACTGCAGAAGTGGACAGGCTGTATTTCTACTATGACTTGTCTGTCATTTACTTACTTTTTGACCAGGCTTAACAGGAGATGGCAGCACTTAGCTCAAGGATATTGAAATCTTCAGCTAAAGCTGTCTAGAATAAGGGATGTGTCACAATTAATGCCTGTAAGGGTCTTCAGTTTGAAGACCCTTATCACAGGTATCTTTTCCTTTTCAGGTATAATGGACAAGTACCAGGAGCAACCTCACTTGTTGGATCACCACTTGGGTAGGAACGTCATCTTTGAATAGTTTTTGTATATATACTTGAAAATCTGTAAAACTAGAAGGTTCGTATTTGCATTGCAAGATTGCTGTGGTTGATATTACTTGTATTATATGACTACTATCTCCCTCTTTTTTATTGGAAGTATGAGAAACTGTAAGCTAACTACACGTGGTCTCACTTTTTTCCTTTCCTTAGAGTGGATGATGAATTCATTGTTGGATATAGTATGGGACAAAGGATCTCCTTCCCTGCTAGTTCACTTGGCTTTTAAATTTCTTTACATCATTACAAAGGTAAAACCCCACAAATTTAACATTATGTAACTGAAATGTGTAAGTTTCCAATATTTTCTTTGTTGTTTAAATAACTTTAAATTTTTTTTCACATTTTCGAAAATAGTAAAATGAATAAATGTATGTCTAAGTAATGCAATGAAATGTTTTAAACTGTACTGTGAAAGGTTCGTTCTCTTTTTTATCATTTTCATTATAGTTTGTTATGGAATGATCCACAGTAATAAAAGTCAGGGTCTGAATGCAAAATTTGCAGACACTGAGATACTGAGTGATAAAACAAGAGTTAGAATGTTAAAAAAAAGAGTATAGTATGATGAAGAATTAGATGAATCGTGGAATTTCCATCTGAGCATAAGAAAGCCTTTTTTTGACCATGAGGGTTGAGTTGAACACTGGAATAGGTTGCTCAGGGAGGTGGTGGAGTCTCCATCCCTGCAGATACCCGACTGGACATGGTCCTGCACAGCCTGCTGTGGGTGACAGTGCTTGAGCAGGAGAGTTGGGCTAGACAGTCTCCAGAGGTCCCTTTTTTTACATTCAAGAATTATCATTCCATTAATTCCTAATAAGTTTGCAAAAAATGTAGAAATCTCGGTTTATATCTCAATTAAATCTTAGTTCATATCCTTACTGTTGTTACTGCATGAGGATCCTCAGGTTTTATTTTCCTGGGTACCTGACAGTGCCAGATGGCTTACTGAATTTTGAAACTTTCTGTTACAGGTGAGAGGGTACAAACGTTTCCTTCCACTGTTTCCTCATGAAGTAGCTGATCTACAGCCTGTTTTGGATATGCTTGTAGACCAGAATCCAAAAGACTCTGAGGTGAGAACTTGCTGTACTGTTTTTTTAAACTCTTATGTCTCCAACAGAAAAAGCTAATGAACAATGCAAGGAAAAAATCCAGAGAAGACTGTATAAAGCAGCGGTACAGCCTGTCCGGTGTTAACTGAACACCTGGATTTAGTATGAAAGTCATCTTACAAGATTTCTTTCTTAAAAGAAATGTCTTACTGAAGAAGTGTTGTGTTTTTCTTTCATGGGGTATGGTCTAAGGATTTGGGAGTGATGGCAGTAGAGGTGCAAGTGAAATCTTTAACCACTCGTTTAAGGGAACATGAATTGAAACAACATAGTAAGAAAGGCAGTGGAAGATAATTGAGCATCTATAAGCAGTAACTGAAAAAATCCTCTTCCTGCTGTGCATTTCATTAACAGTCATGATAATTTAGCTTGAAGGCATAAAAGTAAAATCACAGGAAACAATATTTAGGTTTTATGTATATATTCCTATTTCTTAATGTAAACAGGCTGGTTTTTAAGCATTTGGCTTTTGTCAAAGTTGACATGAGAAATTCTATTTTGATGAGGAAATGAAGACTAGAGTTATTTTTCCTTGCTTAATTTCATAAAATGTTTTATTCTTCCCCAACTCCCCAAAAGCAATCAATCTATCCATCTATCCATCTACAGATTTCTTTTTATTTTTTTCCCCTTTTTTTTTTTTTTTTTTGAAAGGACGGAGGTGAACATTGGAGCAAATTGCACAATTATGTCCTGATGCATGAATTGCTTGGATTTTTGTCTTTTGATAATATATTGCTGGGTATGGAAAAATAACACAAAATTTCACATTTTTTTTCTACCTATAAGTAATTTGAAAAACAGTGCTGTGTCCTTCTGTGTCCTGATTTAAAGTTTTATTTGGCTGGGGATGTTTTGGGCAGAGTTCTGATTCAAAAAAATATTCAAGTGAGGAATTTTGAAGCATGGATTGATATCACAGAATTATAGAATATCTGGAGTTGGAAGGGACCCATAAGGATCATTGAGTCCAACTCCAAGATACTGCAATTCACATTCTTACGGGTTTGAATAAGGAAAAAGAAGAATTCCAGAAGGCTTAGTAAGATAGATGAATTTTAAGAGAGATCATCTGTTACTTACAACAAAAATCACAGATATGAAGACAGTAATTGATTTGCTGCTTTAAATTCATGTCTTTTTTTAACAAACATTATCACTTCTGACCACTTTGCTGCTGTTGTTGATGTAGTTGTACGGCTTTAAAGCTTGTGAGAGTTCCTTCTTGTCTGTGTGCCTCCCAAAACACACCTAACGTTATTTCAGTACACCCATGAAAACCATACGTAAGAATTTAGGGAGAAGAATATATTCCTCTCATTTGTGACTGGAGGCACAAATGGGCTGAGGGGAGGAGAAAACAGGAAAATGGCAACATGCAGTTTTTCTTTGGGAAGGAAATAAACTTGTCTAGAGTTCAGAGGAAGAGCAGAAGGTCCATTAATTTTGTTACAGTTTTGCTGTTTGGAATTTCTTGTAGTTCTGTCTCCTTTGGTGTTCCAGAGCATTCAGGTTTGGAGTTTTTTCATCATCTTACTTCGAAGTGCCGTGGAGGTAGGGGATAGTTCGTGCACCAGGCACTTTGTTGGAGTATATTCCAGAAAATGGAGTGCATATTTTGTTTTACCATTCTTTTCCAGACTTGGGAAACTCGTTACATGCTTTTATTATGGCTGTCCGTGATATGCTTGATTCCTTTTGATCTGGCCCGTTTTGATGGAAGTATTATTTCTGAGGAAGGGCATGCTCGTATGCCAACAATGGATCGTATACTTCACATAGCAAAAGTAAGCATAATACATCTTGTAACACCATCAAACCTGGGATGTTTTTCCCTAGGCTTAACCTTTCGATATGTAAGAAATTATTGTCTTTTCAGAATATTAGTTAAGCCCATATTTTCTATATCCAGTCTGTAAAGAATTTCTCCGTAATTTTTGAATCTTCGGTAGGTTTTTTTGCTGCTTTAGTGTCAGATGAAACTGTTACTTGTTTTCCCTGAAGTAATAAACTGTCTTATTTTAGGACTGTCTGGTGTGAATGTATGCCTTTGATTATGGTAACAGCTTTTAACATTTGAAAATACTCGCTAGCATTTTCTGAAAGCTAAGTTTGATGATTTATGTAGGAAATAAGCGTTCCATCAGGATGAATAACGTTGGAAGCTATGACTGCATGAAGACTTCAACAAAGATGATAAAATTTCACTAGGCATAAGCAGAAGGGGCTAACTTGTCATCCCTTCAAGATAAAAATAAGAAACAATCCTCTCCCACAAATACCTGATCAGCATGTGCTTTTGACACTTGCAGCACTTCAGTGGCTTATCACTTGTAGGCATGTGGTAGCACAATTAGTACTGTCAGTTAAGTTTCAGTTAAGGTAAACTTGCTTTGAAAGACACGAGAAGGGGGACTTTCTTGTCTGAGATACGGTTTGTTAAATGGGAAATTTAATTTTTTATAATCTTAGGCTCAGTTTATAATCATAATAATTACATAATATATGTAATCAGAATCAAGTTTGCAATCATAAGTTGTATATTCATGTGCAAAATTGTTATGTGGTTGTCAAATCTACATGTATGAATTCTTTTACAGTTCATTTTCTTTTACCTTTAGTGTTACTTGGTTGTCAGCGATAAGGCTCGAGATGCAGCTGCTGTGCTGGTTTCAAAGTAAGTCCCTTTTGTGCGTCTTGGCAGGAAGAAGAAAGCTATCTTCCATCTTTCCTGCCATTTTTCAATTTGATGTGCTGCTAATGACAGCACTGGGAACTGTATGTGGGATATTAAACTTGCTTGAATCAGATCCAGTAGTGTATTTATCATTGGAAGTGCTGTGTTTTCTCCGGCTGTAGAGAAACAGCCGTGTGTCACAGTGATACAGATCTCCACTGTTTACAGGATACTGTTCAGCTCACCTTCTAGGGACCGGTTTGTGCTCTAGCGTTTCAGAAAGATAGGATTATGTTGTGTTGCTGATGATTTTTTGCAGTGTGTTGCCTGGTGAAGAGAGAAATGGTATCTGGTATTACTGGCTTCATGTTTCCTACTTAAGTTATAGAATCCTAGAATGGTTTGGGTTGGAAGGGACTTTAAAGATCATCCAGTCCCACCCCCTGCCATGGGGGGAACTATGGAACTTATGTAAGAGAAAATAGTAATGCTAGAATTTATTTTCTTAATATCTCTCTTGTAACTTTCTTAATTCTCTCATCCAGAAAACAGTACTTTACTAACAGTAATTAGATTGATATCTGTGAAATAATTCATCAAATGAAACAGGTGTAGGATAATGGAACTTTTTAAACCCTGTTGTTTTACACAGTTGGTGTTCAGAGACAGAAAAATTTGTGACAGAGGTGCAGTTGTTCTGACATTGTTTGCATCACATCAGTAATATTGATGCTAGAGTTGTTTATAAATTGGAAATAACAAACTTCTGTATCTCTTCTTTCCTCTCCTCGTGCATTAGTGGAGATTGATTTAATTTGTAATGCATATGGAAATAAATTACAAAAACCATAAAAGGTGTAGAAAATAGCTATCTCTTTTCCCATCTGCATCACAGTACATATCCCGATATGTTATAGCAGAAGAGGTCTTTGGTCAGCTCAGTTTGCCGTTAGGTTGTTCTTTCCTTTTGTCTCTTCAGAGCACGCAACCCCCGAATCTTTACCCCAGCATGCCCTCCGCCTGCACCAGGGGCTCTGCCAGCACAGGGTGGCCAGGGCAGAGGACTCTGCACTCTTACAGGAGCACACTTAGAGGAGCAGGGGCTCTGCAGGGTGAACAGGATGAAATAGTGGATGTGGGTAGCTAGTCTGAACAATAAAATCTGTGTTAACATTTTTCTCTAGTTTAAGATGCACAAAATTTGTGGAATTAATTGTATCAAACTAGTTATTAAATGTGACAGTAGAGCAGATCCTGTATTTTTGGGAAATAACTGTCCATGTACTTATTTTAAATTAATTCTGAACTTCAGTCACGATGCTCAATGCCTTAGAAATTTGTATTTAGTGAGTGTTACACTGCAGTTCCAAATCTGATGACAAAACAAACATTTTTTTTTTTTTGAAAGTTCATGAGAGTTGAGAACAGAATCGTAGGGTTTTTTCAGAGCAAAATTTAAGTGGATGCATTAACCCTTTGATTAGTCTTTAATAAATGATCTTGTGCATTACATACTTATTTCCATGTGACAGGAAGTAGGTTTCTCTCCTTATCCTAATCAGTTTGTGCAGTCATTTTGGAAGTGATAATTGGAAGTTGCTTTTCTGGGATTTTTATGTATCTGCACTGGTAATCAACCTTGTCACAATTGACAGAAACAGGATTTGAGGTGAAAGTGTGACATAGAGCGAATTATTCTTGTGTATTCATATGTGCCTGAATGTTCCCTTTGTTTTCCTCACTTCCTAAAACCCCAGAAAAATACACAAATCAACTGTGATAGAATCTTGAAGGTATTTGGAAGCCTTTTCAAGTAAGGATGACAATGATTTTAAAAATATTTTTTTGTCACATTTTACTAATTGTATTTGTACTTCATTTGCACTCCAGGGTATCTGTAAAATTAAATTGCTAGGGAGAGCATACGTATAGTTGTTGTGGTTTAGCCCGAGTAAGTAACCAAGTACCACACACCAAGCTGCTCACTCACCTCCTCTTCCTCCCCCTCCCCCTGTAGGATGGGAGAGAATCAGAGGAAAAGGTAAGAGAACTTGTGGGTTGAGATAAGAACAGTTTAATAATTGAAAGTAAGTGAAATGAAATAATTATACTACTATGACTACTACTGTATAATGAAAATACTACTACTATTAAGAGGTAATTAAAAAAAAGGGAAGAAGTGAAGGAAAACAAATGATACAACTGCTCACCGCTGGCCAGTGACACTCAGCCTGTCCCCAGGCAGCAATTCCCCTCCCAGCCAGCTCCCCCAGCTTGCTTACTGGGCATGACGTGTGATGGCATGAAACGTCCCTCTGCTGCGTTTGGGTCAGCTGTCCGGGCTGTGTCCCCTCCTGCTTCTTGTAGAGAAGAAGCTGGGAACACAGGAGCAGTATCAGAAACTGGAAAAAAGTCCTTGTCTCGGTATAAACATTCCCTAGAACAACTGAAAACATTAGTGTTTCATCGATGTTATTCTCAGCACAAAGCCAAACCATGGCCTTGTACCAGCTGCTGTGAGGAAGATTATCCCAACTGAACCCAGCGCTGTAGTGTGATTGATTGTAGCATTGCAGTCAGCAAAAGTCTTCTTGCGGTTCTCAGCTCAGGATTTCAGGGGGATTTCCGAAGTGCCCTGCATCCTAAGGCAGGGTACTATGCAGGCACGTTATTAGCAGTTGTCTTATGTTGTCTTCCCCTCCATTTTATTGGCTGAATTAATTTTTATTGAATGTATATATTCGTAGCCAATAAGGTGGTAGAATACATTGAGCTGGTTCTAGCACCAGCTGCAGCCAAGTGTTTGAGACTGTAATGGCAGCAAAATTAGTGTACTTATAATTATTTAGTTTATTATGAAAACACTATTTTCAAAACAGCCTAATGATTAAAACACTTCACCAGCAATTCGAAGATGCAGGTCTAAGGCCTTTTGGCTTTCATGCACTTGAACCCACTGCTTTCATATCCCAAACCAGTTCTTTAATGAGTGGACATGGTTATTCAGAGGTGAGATCACTGTTTCACCTTCTTGAAGTTAGACTGTTAGGTGGGCAGGAATCCAAAAGCCCTAGGATGGACAGATAAGATACAGGAGTCTTAACTCTGCAACACGCTGAGTAGGACACTCCTTGGGGAGGAAAGGGAAGTCTGGGTTCTGGTTCCTGCTCTAAGCAGTTCATGAGTTTCAAGTGAAGTTTAGATACATCAGGATCCAAGACTTCCTGTTTTCCAAAGTAATTTACTTTTCATAGGGTGAAGGAGCTGGAGTTTGTTTCTTGAATTCGTTTTTCTGTCTGCTCAGTGACCTGGTTGCAGCAGCAGATGATGAGGCTCATCCTTATCTTGCTTTTAGTCTCAAGGTTAGGGCATTCCTTTGAGAAATTAAGATTTAAACCCCTTTGGGCTGAGAAAGGGTATAGGAACCAGTTCTTCTGCTTTACAGGTTACTTCTGTTACCTGCCCTGTTTGTGCAAAGGAAGACTTTGTCCTTGCTGCTCTGGTACAGAGCAAACCGCCTCCCCTCAACTAACCCCTCCTGCAAGGCCTCGTCGTCCTGTTGCTGAACACAGTTGGTACTGAGTGAAGACAATTCAAGTGCTCACGTGCCTGCTCACTGTTTCCGGTTTTCCCTGCATTTCATATTCCCTGTTCGTTAGCTCTTGGCAACGCTCCCCGTTTATCGTGTAGCTGTATAAAGTAGCCGGATACAGGCCCTGCATACATCCTTCTGGAAGCGCTATGAGTTGTACTTTGTGGGCTTTCCCATGTGCCCTATTTCCTTAGATGGTATGGAGAACAAAGATTCTTAATTTAGTCTGAATCTCTGCTGGAACAGGACCCTAATTTTTAGGTGCTAAGAATACAGACTGCGGTAACTGAGCTGATGCCCGAACTGTAGCTTGGCTGGCGCTGGTGCTGGCTGAGTGTAGGTTTAGGGAAGTAGTTTAACAATGATGCACCTCTTTTGCCCTATGTAAGACAGGTAAAAACACATCTCTTGACCCATCCAGTGTGTTACATAACTGGTGTTTGACCTTTTCAAATATCCAAAAAACCGATGATCACTTTTTATGGGGCTGGCTGATAACAGTGCAGTATGCACCATCGATTTCCACCCATTTTCAGATTGGCAGAATAGCTGTTCTTGGTGAGAATGGTGGAGAATCTCTTTATTTGTTTCAGCTTTTCACTAATTCTAATGGAAATTATTTTTGTGGGGGACCTTTGCCAAGTTTGTTGCTTTGTAATTAAGATGAGAAATCTCTAGAATCCAAGTTTCTAGGATGGTTTGAAGTGAAAGTGACATTCTGGGTCAGAGCCTTGCTCAGAAACAGAAGGGCTAAGTATACGTTGGTTTGGAGTGTTCCCACCCCCAGCGATTTAGGAAAATATCCATTAGAGAATTTTTTTTTAGGAACTGCAACCAGTATGGATGCTGGAAAAATTATTTTTCATTGAGAGTGATAAAGTTAGTAACTGCGGTATTCTGCTTTTTTTCTGTGACAGATTTATTGTACGGCCTGATGTCCGACAAAAAAGGATGGCAGACTTCCTGGACTGGACACTTTCCATGTTATCTAAATCCTCCTTCCAGACCATGGAGGGGACTGTTGTTATGAATGGCATGCTCCAGGCCCTGGTAAATACTGGTTTTCCTTTAAAAGATAGATGATTGTATTTACGATTATATGGTAACTGCTACGGTAGATGGTTAATAAACAGTGCACAGAAGGGTTTCTTTGTGTTAAAAAAGGGTAAAATAATGTACAGGGAGAATTTCCTCCACAACAGTTCTGAAGATGTAACTTTCCTGTGTGTGTATTTTCTTTAAGCATTCCTGTCATCATCAAATAATGTGAAATTGCCAGTATAGATACTGATAAATAACTCTCCAAAATGCTTTTAAATATCTGATTGTATATTAGTAGTCATTTCATAATTCAGTTTGGGTTAGGTGAGTTGTTTTTTTTTGTTGATGGTGTGGGGTTTTTTTTTTTTTTTACTTTGAACAAAACCTTTGAAATAAAAAAACTGGAACTCTACAAAATGAAGAGGTTGAGCTTCCGATGCAGTAGTGGTCTCTCCTAGACTTTTCAGACCTGATAACCAAAATGCAAGTGATTCTTGAAACTTTTATCTACTCTTCTTCAACCAAAACATTCTCAGTAGTTTTAGTAAGACATACTAAACTTGTTAGACAGTGTCCTTCAGTAGTCTGAAAATGTGCACTATTTCCTGTGTTTTTGCTTGCTCATCTGAAGAAGTTTTTTGTGCAGTGCTCCTTACCTTCTGAACTAACAGTAGTTTATCACCTAAAGAGATGAATTCTTAGCTGAATTCTTTTGAAATTTCAGTACTGTGCATGGGAAAAAATCTGTAATACCATGAACCACTACTGTATGATAGCACTCCTCTTGTACATTCTAAGAATATCTTTTTATAAAAGTTCTTTTGTAGTTTTACACCCTTAAAATTGTCTGTGTGCATTTTGAGATACTTGAATAAGAGTTCTGAATCTGTTCCAACTTGGACGTCCGAATATATTTGGGTGGAACAGGGGAGTTTGTGTGAGTGGAGTTGTTCCTTCCTGTTGTTGTTGATGACCAAAGTTGAGGTAGTACAAGCAAAGTCAGGTGACACGCTCTTTGTACGGTCTTTGCACAGGTTTAAAGATTTGCTGGTGTTTGTATGGGTTTCTATAATTTGCATAAATTTGCAGCTCTTCTTAAATAATTGGTGTGAGGACTTGTATGGAGTATATGACTAAACATCAAAGCAAAGTTCTGGAACAAGTGTGTGGTGCTTTTTTTTTCTCTAGCAGCTCTTCCCAATCAGAAGATACAAGGAATGATTTGTATTTAGAGTAACTTAGGAGTTGCTGCTTAAGCAGGAGGAAGCATTATGTGTATGCATTGCAGTATGTTTCAAAAGACAGAATGATGTTTCATCATTTTATTGTCAGATCTGGAAAGGGAGACTGCCTGTTTGCCATTCGAGGTGCATGATGAGACCTGCAGGATGTATAATACATTAGTGTTTTGTCATAATTCCTTTGAGTTTGGCTTTGGCTCTATCCACCTGTTCATTAGTGCGTACTAAGCGAAACAGGTGAATGCTTAACAAGTCGAATCGAAACTGGAGTGTGATACAATATACCTGAAAGCAGAAGCATGCCTTCTTGCATTTATATGTTTTTTTTTTTCTCCTCTGTGGGGTAGGAGTATTTATCATGCCAGTTTTATTTGTGTCCTGCAGCTCATAACTCTTGTTCCAGTTGGTAGGTATGAGCAGACTGAATTTTTAAAGCCTTCTCCTGCATTCAGTCTTCAATTTTTCAGCTCAGTTACTACAATGTCAGCATGAATTCTGTCATTAGGGAATAAAGGTTTTCAGGATGATACGTATGCAGGTATGCATGTACACAGACATGCTTACCTGGAGTAGGAAATATTTATTTCAAGAGTTTAATATTAAGAATTTTGTAACAGTTGTAACAATAGCATGTTGTTAAACCAAAAATACCAGCTGAAAATAAAAGCAGTGTTTAAAATAAATAAACGTTTTCTCTTAAACATACAAGATTCTAGCAGAATCTGCAGAGAAACATAGTAATTGCCAAGTGTGTAAAGCAGAACACATCCTCATGAGGGACAACTAAAACTTGTGTCAGCAAACTTCAAAATTCTTTGCCCCTGGATTCCTCCAGCAGTTTGTTACTTCAGGAGTCAAGGTGCAGTTGCCTGGGCATTTCTCTCTGAACAAGCAGGAGAAAAAAAGACCATTTTGCAGTTTCTGGTTAGTACAGCAAGACAGGTTTCGGGAATGTAACAGGTTTTGGGGATGTAACCCACCAGGGTGGGGAGAGAAAGTCTTTCTGTCTCTTCATCGCATCTGTCCAGGGCGGCCCCTGACAGGGTGGGTTTCAGTGGGATTACAGTCCTACGCTGCTTATGGCCTGTATTTAGGAAATAGCTTGTAGTGGGATTGGCATGGCAAAATTGTTTTAAAAAGACATGAAACTCTTGCATTTCAGTGAACTGAAACTGCAAATTAGGTACGCAATGAGCAGTTCGACGTTGCTGCACTTTGATCTGCCTCTTCGTGGCCTTAAGTCTTGGTGATTAGGTATGCTACTGTTTAATCTACCTCAGCATTATGTGTAGAACAAGTACTACTGTTTCATGATTCCTGTTGAAACACGCAGCCTGCATTACACATTTTAATTCCACTGAGACTTTTTTCTTTTTTTTTCTTTACACCTGTCGTCAGTAATATATCATGTCATGGCAGGTGTGCACTAGCAGGAACCTTTGCTTACCTTGTTTCAGATTTGGTTTTTAAACTGCCCTCTCTTGTTGAAACTAAATTGCAGTATTGAATTAAATTCACTTTTGTGCCTGGATACTCCGTGTATTTGTAGGATTATAAATGTTGAAATAATAAGAAATTGCTCCATATTTTGGTAACATTTGTTTACTTGAAGGAGACTTGTAACCTGTTTCAAGAATCTGCATTTTAAATTCTCTTGGTCTGGAGGTTTGCTTTTAAACCTGCCATTATATCAAACAGCTTTTTAGTTATTGCTGCAGGGTGTAGCACTCCCAGTTCTTGCGTGACAGAGATGTCATCACGTTGAGGTAGCCTTGGGCATTGAAACTTATTAAACCTTATTTGTTTTATAAGTGATTCAGTATACAAGTGTGAGTAATAATTAAAAAAAATAAAACGCCCTGCACAGTGATCTGATGAAACTCGAGAGTCTTAAGAACAGGGCATTTCCCTGAGCTGTCTCTAATGCAAAAGTTATTTAGCAATAGCTACATGCTTATGTAAATTTTGCTCCAGGGAAGAAAGAACTCTCTAACTCTATTCTTTCAGACCCAGAGGCACAAAAATAGACCATTTCCAAATAGAATGTTTCCCAAGTCTCTGTATTTTTGGCATTCTCAAAGAATTAGTGATGCTGGGATTGTCTGTTGGCGTTATTTTTTTAAAAAGGTGGTGTTGTGTAGTGTTTTGGTGATAAAGGTGTACAGAAACCAGTGTTGATAAAAGGAGAATAATAAAATTTCTTATGTCTGCAGATCCCGAGGGCACTGACCCCTTTCTGGTAGTACTGTATCTCCTCTCTTTCTGAATGGCACAGAGTATTCTAATGGGCCCTTGTCTGATACTTCTGAGTGTTTTCCTTCTCACCAGGGGTACGGTGGTTAGCTCAAAGTTCAGAATTTCTGTTATCATAAGTCTGTTTCTTTTTCCTGTTAGAATATAGTGCTGTTTCGAGCTGCTAATTTTTATTTTCCCCAAGTGTTTCAGATCTGTGGCTTTGGGTCGTCTTGTTAAGATGGAAAGGAACTCTTCTGTTAGCTCGCCGTGTGTTAGTCTAAGCTTTTCAGCCTTTCAACTGATAAATAACTAAGATCTTAGGAAAACTGAACTCCTTTTGCCACCCATCTGACTAGCCCTGTAGTGAAGTTTGTTGGCATATGTGTTTATCAGTGCCCTGACAAATACGTGTGACCTACAGAAGGAGTACTATTTGTGAAGGCAGAGTAAGAACAAGGGCTTTAGCTAATCTATTTTACCATTAGCTGCACATATAATGCACTAAATATTCTATTCTTTCAAGTGAACTACTTATTCTGACAGCATGTCCTCCCTCACCTTGTTTACTCCCCACATCTGGCCTGGAGGCAGGGATGGCTGATAGCTTTCCTGGGGCCTGGATGTTATGTGACTACTAGGGGGTGCTCCAGAGTAATGAAAGATACCATTTCCTTCTCTTCCCATGAGGCTGAAATTATCCTCCCAGTCCTTGACTTGGTTGGTTACAACCAGAGGGTAGATTCAGACTTGTCTCTCCTGCTTGGCAGGAAGATACACTTGCTACCAAACAGTCAGGCCACCCTTAATGGTGATTTGTATAGCTTGGGGAACATGTCCTGGAGATGATCCTGATTGATATATCTCATGAAGGTCGTGCCTAAAGTGGGTTATGCAGACAATTGGAAGGTGTGGTGTGTTTCTCCTGTGATTACTAAGAAACTAGGCTTTGTTTTCCTTGCACCATGCTATTTCCAAAGCAAAACCAGACTTGACAGTCGTCATTGCTTGCACACCACTGATTTTCTCTAATTTGTAGGTGGCTTAATTATTTATAAGAGAGGGAGTCACATACTTCTCAACAGTTCACCAGGTTGGGTAGGTTGGTGTATGCTGTATGTCCTCATTAAAGTGAAGAGACCATGGCGTAACTTTGATTGCCTGGACTCGCCAATAGACGGGCTCCTTACTTTCAGTAGTGTTAGTTGCTGACACTAAAATGTCTATGCAGGTGGCAAACCAAGCTTATTAATTATTTTGTTTGTATCAGATTTTTTGAAATGGTATGCCTCGGGTATTTTTCTTCCTTCAAGGCAGGAAGTTTAAGCCGGATACTGTAAAGCTGATTCGTCCTTATTTCTGTATTTTTTTTTTAAATGTTTTCTGTTCGTGCATCATATACTTTTCTTTTTAGTATAATCCCTGTAAGCTCTAGGCTTGCAGGATTTTTCTGAGACCATAACTTTATCTCACACCCATGGCTGTTTTTACCACATGCTGGAAGAAAATACAAAATACATACCCTTTTGTGTGTGTGTGTGTGTCCCAAAAGGCCAACATCAGTTAAAGTGCTCTTTTATTTCCCCTGGAAAATATATCAGCTAAGCTCAAATGTTTGGGAAATAGGGGCTTGTAAATGCTTTTGTATGCTTTGACTCATAAAGAAATAATGAAAACTTCTTTTCTTGACATTTCTACAATCACAAAAAATGCCAGACACTGGATTTCCTGCTGTGTTGAATATCTGAAGAGTAGTTCTCTACAGTATGGCTATTACCTATTTACTTCGATTAAAAATTGTTTTAAAAATGGCTGTTAAGCCTTGATACAGAGAAATGCCTGTTGTATCACTTGTGAAACACCAGTTGTTTGGTAGCAGGTTGTATCTGACCTGCAGTGGACATTAGTGGGTGCAAACAGAACTTTCTTAGACATTTGGCATTTTCAGATGTGTTTATTCCAAAATCAGTAGGTACCATGTTTTATTGAACAAAACCCATGTAAATATTAAGGCCCATTTTGTGAAAGTTTAGTTGTTAATTTAAACAGAGTGGCTATGGTGTTCTTTGGTTACTTCCCCTAAATACTTGTATTGATAAAATAAAATCACTTACTCCATATCTCAATTGATTTACAGCAGTTGCTATGATGATTTTATCATCTGAAAGTATATTATAAATCCTTGCAGTATTTTGTTTGGAATAGATATTCTGTGTTGAATATTAGATATGAAAATGGTTATTTAAGTCT